TCATTATTATAATATGTAACTTTTAAAGGAAAAGCTGGAAAAGTAGGACATATGTTGTTAATTCTAAGCGGATTTCTTGAGTGCATAACTCATTTTAGCAATTTGATTCCTTGAAAGACAAAAGTTGTGGCGCACTGAAAAGCCATTCTTCCACCACTCTAATTATATTTTTTCCAGTTAATAATTCAATTACACATCACTAACGTATTTGCAAACATTCCCATGTAAAAATAGCTAGTTGTGTGAGGGTTTTTTTTTTTTTTACATTCTTGTTGCCTTAAGCTTGTAAAAGTGAGATTTGCAGATGGGAAAATGTGAAAATCTAAAGATGTGAGCCCCGGGAGGGTTGTGCTCAGCCCATGGGCTCCCCCAGGCACTCCTGCCGAGCACATACACAGAAATCTCATTTTTTTGATGGGCTCCCCCAGGCACTCCTGCCGAGCACACACACAGAAATCTCATTTTTTGGACTCCAAAATGTAATCTCCCCCCCCTTTTTTTTTTTCCAGGCACTGTATCTCAGGCTGAGAAGCGAGGGGAAGCGGGTCCATCCCTCCCTACCTTTGCCCCATATGGACAGCCAAGGCTCCACACGATGCAGAGAAGGGGTTACTTCAGGTGAGGGCTGAGCCCTAATTTTGCAGGTAGGCGAATATTCAGGGACCTCAGGAGGTGTCAACCAAAACAGGTGACATTACAGTGAGTGGGGCACCTCAAATTTGCAAGCACTTACAGCAGGAGAGGCACCAAAAAGCAGGTTGATGGCAGGTCCCGTGCTCCCTCCGGAACAGGGATGTCCCAACGCGCTCTGATCTCCAGGCAAGAGAGAAAAATGAAGCCAGAACCTGGTTTATCCGTAACTCTGAAAAGAACCGCTTCTCCCGCTGCCCCTTCCCAGAAATAGAATCTGAAACCACAGCATCTTGGCCAAATTGGAATTTGCATAGTTCTGCGAAGCATTTCCTTCAGTTAGGAATGATTTAATTATTCTTCACTTCCTCTTCTAGAAATCATTCCTGGATAATGAGGTTAGCATAGAGCAGATATGTTTCAGTCAAGAAATAGATGTAATTCAGTGCCAGAAGGCTTTTACAGTTTGGTTTTTTTTTTTTTTAAAAAAAGAAGATGATTTTTGGACACTTCTAAATAGAAGCAGCAGCACAGAGAAGGTTGGCAGTTAAATTACAATAGTCTGAGACACCAGATCACCGGGTGCCTTAACCCAGTGCTGCATCAGCACCCTGAAGAATCAGAGGACAACCACAACTCTCTTACGGCCTGGATTCTTACACAAGGGTAACAGGGCACATCTTAAATAATTATTAAATAATGACAAGCTGTATTACCTCCAGAGAATTGTTTATCTCTGCAAATGGAATCACTGCAGTCAAAGCACAGTAGAGCTAAAATACTTCTAGCAGAAACTGGAAGAGCTACCCCTGGCTCCTTACTTTGGACCTTGGAAACTGTGGACCCTGCATGGCAGTCAGATATATTTTCTGACAAACAGCTTGCTGAATCTAGCTTTTTTTTATTCAAGCAACAATCAAAACAACCTGCCATATCAATCAAACGGAGACATTGCCGCAATTAAGCTGAGCAAATTATTTTCTCTTTAAAGCTTGGCTGGACAGACGTTGAGCAGACCAAAGTAATTTGGAATTTAAGAAGGGAGCATAACAGTTTGTGTTTGGTAAAAGTCCTGCAATGGAACATAAGGATTTTTTCTCTGAACATGGGGAAAACAAAACTATGAACGTAAATACAGCCTTCATCTCATATAACCATCTTCTAGTACATAATAGGGAGTCATAAAACATTTTCAAAGTTCAAAAAGTACCTGAGCTGAAAAAAAAGTGCTTTGCCTCGACTCTTACGGGAACAATTGGAGCAAAAGCTGCATTTGGTGTGTAAACATCCTCCATCTCAGGAACACAATGTCTAACATTTTCCTCCCTAAAACAAACAGCATCAGCTTTCCCACTGAAACACATTTGCCCTGTACCAACTCTATCTTCAGCAGTTCCACTAAAAAACAGTTCTGTGGAGCTTTTCAGCTTTTAACTAAATTTCCAGAATCTTAATTTCTGAATTATTCCAGATGGGTTTAGCAGAGCTGACACAGAGCTGTTCCATTTAAGATAAATTGAAAAAAAAAAAAAGTAAACCATCATGCCTACAATTTAGCATCATTTCAAAGTTGGCTTTTTCGCTTCAGCTGGTCCTTTAGCTAGTGTTGGGTGCATGATACAGTGACTTCATAAACAAAGTTATATCAGCTAATACTTTTTAGCATAAATAATATTTGCAGCTTCTGGGACTCTTAACCTTTCACACTCACACATCTTAAAAATCCCAAGAAGCGAGTGTCTTTCTAAAATGTAATTATCATGTCTTTTAGGTACCATCTAAATAAAGGCAGGAAAACTCAGAACCAACAGGATCAAAGAAGTACTTCTGAGATCTAACCTAAATCTCCCCTCTTTCAGTTTAAAACCATTTCCCCTGGTCCTATCATCCCACTCCCTGGTAAAGAGTCATTATTCTATTGCTGCCTGTTGAGACCGTACATCTTTTCCATTTGTATTTTAAAGTATTTTATCAGAAAAAGCGTTGCAATGTGCATTGCATGTCCTTTTGAGCATTAATATACCAATAAGAATCAACATTGGAATGCTCTGATCTATGAAACAAGCCATTAGGAAACACATTGGTTAGCTCCAGTCACCTCATGTATTAGACAGTTATTGCATATGAACAGAATATTTTTAGAGGATAATAATCGCCAAGATTTCAAAGCAGCTTAATAATGTCTCTAGTATCAGATAATGAGAAATTCCCTGAATGCTGCCAAGCTGGACTTTGTTAATTATAGCGACTGATCTTACGACTGGCATATTTAATGGAAATAATGATTGTAATTCCTATTGGTTATCCTGGAAATCTGGATTCACTTGGAATGGGCTCAGAAAGAACCTTTGCTTCCTCTCACAGCCGCCCATGTTATCACAGAATCACAGAATCTTAGTGGTTGGAAGGGACCTCTGAGATCATCGAGTCCAACCACACAAAAAACCCCCCCAAAAACCCCCCCCACACCAAACAAATACAAAACACCCCACACCAAACGCCCACCAAAACCACCGCATCCCCCAACTAAACCCCACACTCAACACCTCACCACAAACCAATAACCTTGGGCACTAGAGCATGCCCTGAAGAGCCATGTCTATACATTTTTTAAATACCTCCAGGGATGGTGACTCTATGCTACTAACCAAGCCCCTCACCTAGAACCCAGACCAAGGGGTTACACTTCTGAGAAGATAACTCCTTGCAAAACGCTCCGCAACGACCGCATTTCCATCCAACATCAAACAACAAATTGTGTGAAAACTCTTTGGGAATGGTACAACAGATATTCATCTGCCCCTCAGCCTCTGCCAACAGTTTGCACAGTGATAACCCAACAGGTAAATATTGATGAAGCATTTGTGGTAGCTGTTTAACCACTTTTTTTTCCCTTCTCTTAGGAGAAGATCTATCTCCCTGGTGCACTGAATACACGCTGGGGTTGAGGAAAAACATTCCCTTCAGCTTTCGTGTGCTAATAAACAAGCTCAGGAAAGTCAGGCAGCTGCTTTCGAGCAGACTGTGTTTCAAATCGAGCCTAGCTTAGGAGGAAGAACTTAAAATGTGTCTCTCACCAAAAGATTTCCAAATGGAAATGCAATAACATGTTAATTAGAAAATTCTTTACACAGCAAAAGGCTCCCAATGAACAATTACTGTATATTTCACAGAAGCCTTTCCTAACAATCTTTACACAGGGAAAAGAAAATATGAAAGAAAGAACAACAGCACGGAAAACATCGTATAAAATGTTGTATTTGAGCATTTCCCAAGTAGTGATTAAACCTTTCTGTGGAAATCTGCCTCTGACCTTTATCACAAACCAGAGTAACACTGAAGAAACCTGACAGATGATACAGTCATTCTCACCCAGTACAAAAATGGCAAGATGTGGAAAAAATTTTAAATGACAGATTATTAGAGAACCATCACCTGATATACAAGATTAGCATTGTATCAAGTCAAATAGCAAATTCAGGCACTTTTTAATACATTCGCAATACAGGTCTTTTCTTCTAATGAGGGAAGCCTGGATGCAACATCTGATACTGAAGATGCTCTTTCACACTAGGCTGACTGGGCTAAGAGCATAGAAAGGGAAAATTCACTAATATAAATATTTATGGGGTATAATGCAGCGTTGAATCCTGTCATTAGCACAGGAAGCCTCACAGTGTACCTAAAGCCAGCCCCACACCTACTGGTGTAGCCAGTCACCACCAACACTCCTGTGCCCACGGTGCCAAATGGAGATGTACAACCTGTGACAATCCATAAATGCCTGTCCCGAACTGAACAGGGGTTGGGGAGTGCAGGCAGCTCTTAACAGCTCCCACACAATGGCATTTAGTAATTTTAATACTAAACCAACGGAATCAGACTGAAGGAAACAAGTTGACTCTTCCCAGAGTCAGTGACCAGAATATCCAGTGCTCTCCACAGCGGTACGTGCCTTCTCAAAACAACGATGACAGAAAGTCAGTGGTTATAAGTCACTTGTGCGCATGTTGCTCCACAGAGTTTTGCAGACAAAAATACAATACAATACATAACATTTCTTTCAAAAGTTACTGTGTACAGAATACAGCATATAGAACTGAGAGACATGAAATATTTACAGCTGTAACATTAGTGAAAGGCTTGACCTTGCTTTTCTGAGAACTGTTGAGTAGCTGACGAGGCCATTCAGGTTGTTTCCTGGAGTATGGCATCCAAGTTCAGGCTGTAGGAAATCACATTATTTTGATTTTTTTTTCTGATTATTTTTTCAAATAGATACCTGACACAGTTCTACACAAAGAGACAGTCCTTTTACGCAATCCTGGATATCCTGCCCTTAACAGTCCTTCAAAGAGCTCTGCATTTGCCTCCATAAAGGGTTTGCTTTAAGCATTATATTAAGTATCGTCACTCACTCAGCCTCTCACAAAACTACAGAAGCCAAGCTAAGGTAGGAACTCAAACGAGGAGACCTACTAAACAGTATGAATCAAAACCTGAGCTCTGCTGACACTCACATTATGCAGGTTAACTCAGGTTAAGCTGCAGCAGCAAAGGGCTGCATCTCACATCAGCACAACTCATTGCATTCAACATTAACTCAAGCATTTTGTACTATGGTTACAATCATTTTAGACTCTGACAGACCATGTTGAGCAGAATAACTGTAGTTCACTGTTGGGGTGTCTGTAGTCTTAATTCTAGTCAAACAATCTCCCCAGCCGTTTCAATTCAGCTGAAAGAAAGCCTGCAACAACCTAAAATGCATTAATATTAATAATCACAATAATAATATCAACACCAATAATAATATAGCAGGAAGAAAGCTTCAGAAATCACCTACTCTACCCTCCTACTCTTGTATTTTTCAAAATCTCAAAGCTGTTGATCAAACTCATATGGGGCATGCTTTTTTTATTGGCATAAGGATAATTACCACATTAATTCTTTGCCTATCAACAGGCAAAACACATATGTGGCAGAAGATATTCATCAAAGTAGTTACTTCCTTCTGAAGCTCACAGGAAGTCAGAAAACTTTGTAATAGTGCTTTTCCCCCTTGCTTGTTGCTTTCCATAAGGCACTGCAGTCTGCTTGTTTTAAAAAACCCTACTTTGTTAAGGGTTATTTCCCCTAGTTTTGCTAGAAAAACCTCTAGAAGTCTCAGACTGTAACACTCTAAGCTGCATTCGAAGGGACTCATCAGTGACTAGCAAGCTTTACAAATTAGATTCTTCTAAATCAGCTAAAACCAGAAACCAAATCTTTCCCTCCCAAAAACACTTGAAACAAATTGCCAATTATAGCAATTATAATAATTTTTCATATATTAAGCTTTCCATCTCTTGATTCTTAGTTAATTAGTTCTCCAGCACTGAAGAGGTTTCTGCAATAAATAAAGTGTCTAATTTTAAAGTAAACAGAGAGGGATAAAAAAGCAAATACTTCTCAATGCCCTCCTCTCTTTCTCTCTCAAAAAGAGAAAAACTTTGCTCATTTTGTGGAGAACCACTAATTTCCATGAACGGGTTTTCCAAGCTGCAAATTAACAGTCCCTCCCTAACTCCCAGGAAGGCTCTAAGGATTAAAGTTTGTAAAAAGCATTGAACATGGAAAGGCCACTGTGATGTAGCATCGCAGCATTCCTATTACCCACCTTCTATCTCTGTCTTTTTGCAGAACTACTAGAGCTTTTTTAACCCCATTTCACAAAGACTTCAACTCAACCTTTTATGAAAGGAGAACTATAAATAGCCTCTTAGATTAAAACCCTTAACAGCTGAGAAGGCTAGAAAGGGAGGTAGATATTATCCACCTTTCAGTACTACAAATTGGGGCTGGAAGGGCTTAATTACCAAGATATACTTAAGAACACACTAAGGGCTGCTGTAAAAATTACTCCAATTACGGCAGCTCCAGAGATATGGCTCCACCTGGGAGAGTGGAAACCATCACGTGTGTCTCCTTCCACATACCTCTCCTCTGCCCCATGCTAATAAAGGGGATCCCAGCAAACAGCAGCCTCATGCCCTGCAACGGTTCTGCTGCCCGGGTGGGCTCCTCTCTCCCAGGTGCCTTCACAGGAACTGTTCACACCAGGCAAGCCAAGGATTTGGCTGCTTTTGTTTTCACTTTGAAATCTCAAAGTGGAGATAAACTGTTATGGCAACAAAATCATTTCAGCCAGTGTATTAGCTTAGAAGCGTCTCTGGCAGAAAAAAAGATATTTTTAACCCGTGGTCTGGATTTGAACGTGCAATTCATGATTTCACATGAACCACACACTTACTGTCCTGATATGGGGAATTCATGGTTTTCCTTAAGATTTTGTTTGTGATGACGTATTCTTATTTATGATTTTTATAACTACAAATAAACGTGTAATACACAACGAGCGTTCAGTGAAATAATTTCTGTTAACAGTCAAGAAGTCCATGTGGTTTCAGTACTCCTGGGCTAAGCTTTTCGCGATGGTGCTCAACTGGATATTTGAAGTTCCTTCATATATTGTACCTGAAATCAGAAGAAAATAAATTAGAAGGCTATAAAACCACAGTGAGTACATGAAAAGAGACCAAGATATCATTCTGATAGCCCCCAGTTAGAAAATTTACAGTTATGAAGTGAAGCTTGAACTAAGCAAGTTCTAGAAACAGAATTTACATAAATATTCGTATTTTATTATCTGCAACAATTGAAATACTCTTCTGCTGGTACAACGTAATGACAAGAAGTTTCCCTGAAAAGCAATTCCTAAATAACACACAAAAACTGAGTATTTACAAATGCTATCAGCAATAAAAGTCAAAGGGTAATATTGTTAGGAATGCTAAACTGTTAGGTCCAAGGATTATACTGGCCAACAAGGAAGTCCTGAAAATAAAACTCCACCTAGATTCAGATTATAAAGGCAAAGAAAGTACTTTCAGCTTTTCTGAACTGGAATTTTCTCAACAGAATGGGACACACTGTGTGTGTCTGTATTTTATTGGTATCTAATGAAACATATTAACTAGCCTTACATACACAGATGTGTACAGCAAAAGTTTTTACCTTTCTCTGTCTCAGCCTTTGAATCAGTGTTAACTAGAGTCTCATAGGAAAAAAAAAATCTTAAAAATACCCAGCTATTCACTTTAATACTACTAATGCTACAAGAAGTATTCGTTATGAAACTCTCACTCACCTATCTTGCAGTCACGATAGTACTTTTCTATTGGATAATTTTTTGTGAATCCAACGCCACCCATCCATTCAATACATTTACTAGTTGTCAGTGTTGCAACCTATGAAAATAGTTTCAGAGTTACTATTTGAGGATTCAACTTCATGCCCGTGGTAAGAACTTTTCTTCTTTGTAGCTATTCAAAGTAAAAGCAAAACAGTAATTGAAGCAGTCACTAGAGCAAGTGGATGAGGAAGTACCGATATTTTTTAATTCATCTTATTTGTGCAAGTTATTTTAGAATAAAAATGACATTTTTCTAAATCAGAGGACATCAAGAATTCACTGTTATTGCAATGGTTCATATGCAGCAGTACGAAAAAGACGAGAAGCGGTGTGCAAGATGGCAATTACAGAGAGGCAGAAGCAATCCAGTTTTGAATCGCAGTAAGACTCGCAGATGTGACCAGCAGAGGTGAAATGGCCACAAACGGAGTCTCACCATGCTATTTCTCCAGCCACATAAAGAGAATTCTAAGGAAATGAAATCTCTAGATGAGTGAAAATACTAATTCACTTTCTCTTTTAATGTTGTTGCTTGTTTTTCAAAATTTTATTTAGGGGCATGAGCAGCTTGCTCTTTGGTGGCCACTTAACGTTCTATACACAGACTGAGAACGAGAGACAAGGTAAAAGTATCTCCACAGATCTCACAGCAAAACATGAATTAGAAGTTAAATATTCAGTAACAGAAGAAACGTTTAAACAGCAGTGAAATAAATCCACTGAACAACGAAACTGGAGGTTACCTCAGCAGCGTAGTATTTGGCCATGCTTGCCTCCTTTATGAATGGCCTTCCTGTTTCGGCAAGACGAGCCGCGTTGTAGGTCAGCAACCTCGCCGCCTCCAGCTGCGTGGCCACCTGAGCTATCTGGTGTTGCATCCCCTGGAACGAGCACACCACAAGTCAGACAGACCCAGTATCTAGCACTCAGCTGGAATTTCTAGCAAGAGCCATTGTTTTCACCAAGGAACACACACTGTAAAACAAAACTACAAAATCTAGATGGACTAGTCATTCTGCACAGCCCTGCCTCTATGACGTCGACGTTGGAAAACCTCTTGGCCACCAAAGTCCTTTTAGGAATCGCACTCCCATCTTCTCCTTCCCTCTTCTTAAGATTCAGGAGTACTGGGGAACTTCTTGCCTGACTGGTTGGACTGGAGGGTTCAACATGAACCTACCTGCACCCATGAATATCAAGGAAAATTTCAGCCAAATCTTAATGTTCTTCTCAGCACCTCAGAGACACGGATAGGGCAAAGCTGGACTTTTTACTTTGCAGCTCTTTATTGAGAACATCCACACATTAACAAGTCTAGTTCCCTGATGAAACTGAAAGTACCTCTTCAAGTGAAGAACTACCAAGGTGACAACCACTTCTTCTCATGTCCCAAGGCCACAAGAGAAGAGTTGGGACCAGCATAGAAATACAGAGGACATGACTGATGAATGGATTCAAAGGGAAAGGAAAAGGTGATGGGACTCACATCTAAAAGGTAGGTATTACAGAAGAATAGGCTGATTTAAGGAGACCCAAACATTATGATGACTGAAAATGGACATTTAGTAGCCTAACTTGCTCCTAAAACACAATAAAATCTTTCATCTTATTAATGCTGCTCTCTAGAATTTGCAAAAATATATATGCTGGTCAAAATAACAAAATGATTCGGCAATTAAAAATTCCATTTCCCATTCAAAAGACGCAGTTCCAATCATTTCCTAGATATCTGTGGGTACTTCCTAAAATTTGTATAAATTATGAGTAGTACTAATGTTCCTTCTCTTCAGCTGAGATGTAGGTTTCTTTTAACAAGAAAATTACTATAGTAATTACAATTATATATCTTCCTTATTAAACTATACATCATTTTTGCAACAAAGAGTCTTTTTCATTTTAAGATACAGATATTATCATGAAAACTAAATGTCTTTGTATAGCACAGGAAATCTAATAATTCAATCAGTTTTCCTCATCTTTTTTATAATTTCTACTGTCTCCAGAAAAAGGCCTTCCCCTGCATCTCATGAAAAGCTATAAAAACTGGAACACGTTCAACATACTGTGATATTAAAATCAGAAGAGAAAGGGGTTCCATGTGTATTATTTTCAAAAGCAGTGAATCAAGCAAAAGGAGTTATGTTAATAATGTTTTGAAGTTTTAAATGGTTTATACGGTATTTGCAAAGGCACACTGCACTGAATTTATATATTTTACGTGGCAGATGAATGCTCATCCGATATTCTTTTGAAAAACTCTTCTCAAATATTGAGAAATAGAGACATGACAGAAGGTGGAGCACAAATTATGCAAATCAGATTACTCATGTTACTGACATCATTTAACTACTACTCTCTTGGAGGAAACTCCCCATGTGTTCATTAACAAGTACCTGGAAATCGAATACGCTCTTCCCAAACTGGACTCTCTCCTTTGTATAGGGAATTGTATGGTCAAAACACCCCTGTGCCAGTCCCAACATCTGTAAAAAATAAAACATACCGAGGTGAGTTAGGACAAAAAAGCCCCCCAAAACTCCAAAACCTTTGAGGAATAAGCCTATTCCATCATATTCTATTCCCAGAAGTATGAAAAGAGTATCACTAATTTTTTAATAGAACTTACAGGTCAACTCTGGTTGTGCAAATATTAAGTGTTTCTGCAAATTCTTAATTACATGGGAAATTTACTGTAAACTAAAAAATGTATAGATCTACATTACACTATTAAAGGAAAAATAAATTGAATTATTATCCAAAGCTATTTTCATAATCAAAATAATTTCTCATTTTGTAGAAGACAATCCCATACAATCACAGTTGGAAGCATTAACATTATACATTTTAGTGTATTATGTTTTCCAAAGCTAGTCCTCTTTGTAAAATAAATTTGCATAATGGCAGATAAAAATGTTGATATATTTCAGTAGCAATAAGTTAACCACCAAAGACAAACTAATTGCCATTTAATGTTTTCTAAATCTATTGCTTATGTCACCAAAGGAGAATTTTACCATTTACAGTTGTTTCAGTATTTTTCTGTAACTTAGATACAGGAATAGTGACATCTAGTGGCAATTTCGTTTTTAATAAAGTAGTTTCTAAATGGTTTATTTGTATTAGCTTTAAATATTTTGTAAATTTCAGTCCAAATTCAAAGTTGTATACTGATTGTATTCAGTATTAAACAAAATCACCCACCTGTGCAGCAATGCCTATTCTGCCAGTATTTAGCATTCCAATGGCATACTTATAGCCTTGTCCAACCTGTCCCAGGATATTGGTCTCAGGAACCTAAAAAATAAAACCACTTAATTATTTCTGCTCTATTTTGCTTTGCAACTGCTAGTAGGATTCACAGGTAAATCAGCGTACATGTTTTATTTAATGTTCCTCATAAGTGAAGTCATAAAACATAAGACAGACATTTGATGTCTAGAATACCCGATTAGAACACCTCCTGATACATGTGATTATAAACTGATGATTAAGAAAAACTGTATCAAAATTTAAGAAATTCAACCCCCCTCAAGACTTCTGTGAAAGAACAGAGAGAAAAAAGTTAAAATATGCCAAACAGTCAGTAAGTCCAAGGAGGATATTGGTCTCAGGAACCTAAAAAATAAAGCCACTTAATTATTTCTGTTCTATTCTATTCAAGACTTCTGTGAAAGAACAGAGAGGAAGAAGTTAAAATATGCCAAACAATCAGTATGTCTAAGGAAAAAAAAAAAAGGGAATTTAGTTAACATTCTTTCCCCTTATGTGGTCAAGTTCCAGTTATACACAAATTCTGCTTCAATAGCTGAACAGCTTACAATACCTTAACGTTTTCAAATGTTACTGGGCAGGTAGAAGATGCTCTGATTCCAAGCTTGTCCTCCTTCTTTCCTACATGGAGTCCCTCTGTGTCACGATCTACTATGAAGCACGTAATTCCCCTGTATCCCTAGAATGAATTACAAAATAATCAGAACTGTTTTTTATATTACTATCACCAAATGATGGTCAAAATATCTCATTCCAATACTGAACTTTTGTGTCTGCTTAATACTATAGTACTAATTACGCAGGTAGAAGATGCTCTGATTCCAAGCTTGTCCTCCTTCTTTCCTACATGGAGTCCCTCTGTGTCACGATCTACTATGAAGCACGTAATTCCCCTGTATCCCTAGAATGAATTAGAAAATAATCAGAACTGGTTTTCATATTACTATCACCAAATGATGGCCAAAATATCTCATTCCAATACTGAACTTTTGCACCTGCTTAATACTATAGTACTAATTAAAACACCAGCACCATCGTCTGTTCCCTCTATGTCTGCTAATCATGGTTTAACAAAGGCCAGAAATACTTTTCTATTAAAATACTCCACGTGGAAAACATAATGAGAACAACCTTAAAAGTTCTCTTGATAAGACAGGGGACTGGTATTATGTAAATTAAATAGACAGGACCGTGGTGCTTGTCTGTACTGGAAATCACTGGAAAAGCAAGTTATTGCTCTGCAGTGAAGCTACTGCTCACTGTTGGAACATTTGTCACAGTCAAAAAATGGACTGCAAGAAGACATCAGGTATCTCTACACTAAAGTGGTCAAACGAATAATGGCTCTAAACCCACCTGTCAGATAATTCTATAGGATGCAATATTTTACTTAAGCCCAATTACTTCAGCTACTCTTCTCATGGAAGGCTGTGTATATACCCTTCCTTTTAAGGTTACCCAAAGAGCACTGACTGGTGAGACTGGCATCACTGGGAACTGCGCTTGAATATCCAAAGTGCAGCATAACTGTAAGTGTTATAACAGACCTAATCTAACGCCCATAATTGCTGCAAACTCTCTCCTTGTGATTCCACTTTGCAGAACATTGATATCACTCTCTCATTACGTTAGCGAGGTAGTGGGAATATAACTAAAAAAGCAGTCTGAAATCATTGTGATGGTTGTTATTAAGAAGCTCAAAGAGTTGATTTGGTGTTCAGATAATGATCTGGACAGGACACTAAATAATGCATGTGACAACACATAGATTGTATAGCCAATCTAAATTCTGGCATCTCCTACATACAGACTTACAATCTTATTTTAAAAATAAATATCTTCAAACTAAATTTTTAAGAAAGTGATACTGGAAGAAGCTTAAAAAAGAATTAAAAGTTTTAAGCAATTTAGTTCTGTATTTGATTATCACTCTACCGTATTGGTATAAGTACATTTTCAAGCCTGTAGTTGACTTTTCTGAATCTACTACCTACATCCAAATTAGTAACAAAACTTGAAACACACATATTCAGCTGTATATTTTTTTACCTGAACATACTCTGCTGATGTATTCTTATTAGCTTTCCTGTGCATGTAGCCTAAGCTCTATTTTGCCTTTTAACAACAGCAACTTGTCAGTTAAGCCAGAAGGGTTGGGGGAAAGGCTTCAACTATCTGTTCTTCTGTTACTCCGAATAACACCAACACGTGCTGTGCTCTTCATCTAAGCAACTATGATTCCGACATTTTTATTTTCCCTGGTGGGAGGAATTTATTAAATTCCTCAGAGAGTTCTCAGTTTTTGTTGGGAAATATTTTTAAAGGTTTGCTGTCAGCTAGGAGAAGGTTCAAAGAATATTAACCTTTTAACATCAGATTATTACTACAAAATCCAGTTTCATATATAATCAGCTGTCACTGAAATGCAACTACTCTTTAGCAACTTACTAAGGACGGATCTGTATTTGCCATCACAAAGAAAACTCCTGCATGTTCTGCTAAACTAATCCACATCTTGGAACCATTGATAATGTAGTAGTCTCCTTTCTTTTCAGCCCGAGTCTTCAAAGAAAAAGCATCGCTGCCGGATCCAGCCTCCGAAAGACAGAAGCTGCCTATCTGTCAATTGAAGGGAAAAATTAATTTTAATTTTTACTGTGCATATAGGCACAACATATAGCAAATTCTGCAACAAAATCATTATAAACAAGCATAAGTCTCTTAAATTCAAGCATTTGAATCCATTGCATCACAGTAACTGAGTTTCAGATATAGAGATTAAGAATTAAAACACTATGTAATCATGTCTCTCAAAGTCAACTGCTTTAAGGTTCTCTTCCACAGTAAATCAAATTTTAATGAAACTAGTGAGCACCTTTCCACTTGTACCTCTCAGCTACTGATGACAAGACGTATCAATATCACCACAGATCTCAGCTCCAACCAGTGTTTCCATGTTCACATGTGGTTTCCAATGCTGCAGTCACCCCTTTACTTACTGAAAAAACCCCACCCCACTAACATGACTTAACTATGAAAAATCCTATTATAATTTAGTAAAGTGAGAATTTGACTCACTGTATCTTTAGCGACTCTGGGCAAGTAAGTTCTCTTTTGTTCTTCTGTTCCATATGTGGCAAACAACTTAATGGTTAGTGTATTTTGGAGTTCACAGAGAAGAGCTACAGCCGGATCAACTTTGGCTAGTTCTTCTACCACCAATATGATTGAAAAAAATGAAGCTCCAGTTCCTCCATATTCTTCCCCAAGATCAATACTCATCAGCTGCAATGTAAGAGATGCAAGTATATCAACCTGTTGGTTCCTTTCAACAACTTTTTAGTTCAAGCTGATACCTAAGAGATTAAAATGAAAACCACAGAATCTAAGTATTTCCAGATCCTTCCCCAAAGACCTGTTTTCCTTCAATACCCTTAACAAACTAATGAATCTTCACAGGAGTTGATAGTCAATTCATGCAGTACACAGGGCAATCATCACCCTAATTTAATTACATTTTCCAGAACAATTGCAATCTTAACAGAAGTCTAATATTTAGAGTGCCATTACACTTATCAGAGTCATGATGAAGAATGTGGTATGGGAAAGGGAAAGGTGAATAATATTACAGTAAAAGATGGAGAACAGTTGCCTTGCTGTTGATAAATCCAAAATTTGTAATGCTATATTAGTTCACTTGAATTATAACCCTCAATCTTTTAATCTAGGAATCTGAAAAGTGCACAGCTAGAGACACAAAATGATGTCACTTTCTGAATAAAAGATTAAATAAAAGTGTGCAGACCCCTTGTTCAAACAATCCCTGTATTATAGAGTCTTCCATTTTCGAATTCTCATCCATTTTTTGCACCAAAGGTGCAACTCGTTCCTGAGCAAATTTTGTCACTGTAATGAAGAGAAGAAAGACAGCGTGTAAATATTTTAACACTCTCCTTGAAGATCAATAAAACAGTTATGTGGTACTTCTGACAGGTTCTGCATGTATTCCCTGACTCTCCCAGACAAGTTAATAAAAGGACAAAACAGTGCCCAAGTGAAACAAGGTGATGTGCCACAAGGCTCCATCAAAATCACTTTCTGAATTTAGCTACAACTCTCTAAACCAAAACAAATATTTCCTAGAAATTTTGAAAACATCTCAGCAACACTTACATAACATTGGCTGACCAAAAAAATTATACAAAATCTTTCAAATACATCCCTTATTTGGTTAGTTGTACCATATTTCTTTATAAATTAAATCTATAAATAAAAGATGGTCTCAGGCTTTAATGCCTGTTATTCCGAATGCACAAAATCCTGTAAGTTAATTGCAGCTGAACTAAACACTTCAGAAAGGGCACAAGTCAATGCCAGGCAACTTCACTTCTGCCACAGCAACAGTTTTAAACAGCTAATATTTATGCAGAGTAAACTGCCCTGTGGTATGTGGAACTGTGCTATGGTAACGTGGAAAAAGAACATTGCATTTTGCTCTCATGAACTAAAGCACTTTTAAAATTAAGCACAACCCCACACAACAATCTCAACATTTAACTAGAAGAACAAAAATAAATTGTTAAGCTTTTAGTTAGACATTTCTGAATTTTAACCACACATATAATAGGTACCCATATTTTTGAGCATTTTCTCCTCTTCGGTGAATGTTTGAAGCGGTGCACAGATAACTCCATCACTAGCTAGATTTGGCTTAAGTTCCGATTTGGAAGATCTAAAGGCACAGGGAGAAGTCCTCCAAGGAGCCAAGTACAATGGCAAATTTCTTTTCAGCTGTTGACAATAAATACAGAACATCAAGAGTTAATAGAATTTGTATTTGTAGACAGACAATACACAATTTTACCCAGTGTTTTTATTCAGGGATACAATAGGAAATATAATTTATATTAAATATCACACAAATGCATTTTACTATAGGGGAATGGCACTAAGCATATATGGCAAAAGTCACAAAAAAGAACAGAATAGACAGTGACTTTTGGGAGCAAGCTATGAGCAGTGAATAGACAGTGACTTTTGGGAGCAAGCTATGAACAGCTTGTCATGTGGGTGGACACAGACAATGTGATAGGTAATTAGTTTGTATCTTGGAGAACTATACATGGTCTTCAAAGACTTTCTGAAGAAGGTAACAGCAGGCATTAGAAAGGAACATGTTTGGTTTGAGAGTTAATACATCTTCTAACCACAGAGTAATTGCTTAGGATTTTAAAAAGTTAGCACAATGAATATGATCTGGCTCAAAAAGTAACAGGCTAACAGTAGCTAAACTGCTGCAAAATGTATTCCTGAAAAGCAATATTTAAAAAAAAGCAGCACAGTTCGACTGACTGATCTCAGAACAGGCAAGACAAAAATGGCTTTCCTTCCATAACTCCCAAACCCCAACTTATTCTGTGGCTGCCATCTACAGATCAGATCTCTGCTACAGGTATCTGTCACTACTGCGATGTCAGTTTAAGTGTGGACATATTAATGCCTTTCTGAGACAACTGCTGACAGAAGCCCCCAGTAGAGACACAGCTGTGCCATAAAAATAATGTATATAACAAGCATATGCCTGCCAACATACATTTTTGCCAGCACACACCCCTAACCCCACAGCGAGCAGACTGACTGACTGTGCCGTAACCCGGCTGCTATTTAGCTCACAGAACGCAGGACAATTTTGCAATGCACACTGTCACAGCAGCCTTTCTCAAAAAATGGCAGAAACTTTGGGGTCAGGAAGTAAAAATTCCTTTGATCCTTCGAATAATTCACTCTCTTTCATGTTTGCTTTCAACACCTGTCATCTCCCTGTCTGAAGAGCTGATGTAAAACAGATCTATGGACTCCTTTTCTCCTAGAGACAAAATGCACATGTCTATTACAGTAAGGAAACTCTGACTTTAGCACAACCAGTGATGCATGACAAAAAAATAATAGTACAAGTGGTAATATAGAAAACAAATATTGCTGTGAACATTTAATGTTCATTCATGTTCAACACCCCTGATCACATAAAACAAATACTGACTAGTGGGGTTGATTCATGAATACAAAGTTTGGATGATCAGTGACAGCTGCAACACTTTCAAATGAAGACTAAGTTACTAGAGTCACTGTGGGTCTTCATGAAAAAAAAAAAAAAAAGAAAGAGTTGCTTTAATAGAGATAAAATCCAAGGCAACCATGTTCTGGAAGCTGTCAGTCAGGAACGGATTATTTACAGAACATTCCAGCTATGGTAGGGTCACTCAACACCCAGACGTGCAAGACTATTAAACATCCACCTGAATAAATCCATATTCTTAGCAAGGTCTGAGAAGGAAAAACGTAAGTATAGACATATACACATATATATATTTAACACAGTATGCTTCCTCAGCAGTTAGAGGATTACAAATCACACATAATTCCTGCTTCTTCCACTACTTTATTTCCAAGTAAAAAGAAAAGAGCCTTTTTCTTTCACAGTAGTCATAACCAAAGATGAACCACTGAGAATATTTCATCAGTATTGACCAAGAGCTGTCAGGAAAAATGCACAGTGCTTTTTTAAGAATATAAAACTTTTGGAAAAGCTGCAAGTAGGTACACTCAGTAGGCAATAAACCACTACTGTTGAAACAACAACAGGTGGCACTTTGGGATTAGTTCTACTTTTGTTTGATGGCACCTGACACTTGGATGTAGAATTATCGACTGTGCAGGTGAACACATCACTAAAGGCATGCAGAGAAGCCTGCCCTGTCCAAAGTGGGAAGTACAGATTTTGCAGACCACAGAAAATACACAGATTTTTCTCACATGCTTTCAGTAAAATGGGAAACTTGATTAAAAGCAGCTCAGCAAGGTCAAGCACAAGTGCGTGGGGCTGTATTGCCTGAGGTGACCTACCTGGCTAGCAAGTCAACAGCTCAGGGTTTGTTGAAATTAAAGCAGGCAACAACGTCAAAGGTTTTGAGAAAGTTAGTGCCCACAGTAACTGTCCCTTCCTTCACCTCCACTTAGTAGAAACCACCTCAGGCTTTCCCCCCTCCCACCCCCAGAGCTTTCTCTTGGAGGACCTTCTACTGCAACCAACCCACGTGAGAGGAGCAGAGAAAGGTGTCCTACCATGACAGGAGAAACAAAGGTAACTTAGCGTGCAGACATGGTTTGATAAATGCTTGTCTGATACCTGATTGAGATGTGCTACAGGACAAAAGGAATATTCATAACCTTGAAAAGTCTTAAAACCAGCAGGATGGCCCCAAGGCATGGGACCTACGCTGGCAACACCCACACGCCGAGCAGCAACCCACAGGTATGCCAGAGTAATAGCACAGTGTAGAAATGATTCTTTACTTTCACGTTTAGATAAAAAAATAATAATCAAGTCACTACATTATTGTCTACATCTTTATTTTTAAAAGTAATGTAGTCATATAGTATTGCTAACTTTCAGATAGCTATTTATAGTACCTTACTCAAATGCTTTGATACTGTTTCCCTGCTTTTTCCCCCTCTGTTTCTGTAGTTAAGGTAATGATTTACACTGCTACAACATTCAGACTGCTTGCCCTGCTAAACACATGTATTTGAAAATTGGTTTCTGGGTTGCTGATAACATTGATTTTTTCTGTTTATCTCAACTCTTACCTCCACCTCAGCTCTTTAAAGATTAGTTCCTTTGGTTTCCTTCTGTTTATTTCACAATCTAAAACGAGTTTGTAATGCTGGCAGACCTGGCAGCACCAGCATTAAGATATAAATAAAAAAAGGCCAAAGCAATATATTTTCCTAAGCTCACTTTTCTTTCCTTTATGACTTCCACTTCTATATCTGTCCCAGGTCCCCCCTCTGTTTCTGTAGTTAAGGTAATGATTTACACTGCTACAACATTCAGACCGCTTGCCCTGCTAAACACATGTATTTGAAAATTGGTTTCTGGGTTGCTGATAACATTGATTTTTTCTGTTTATCTCAATTCTTACCTCCACCTCAGCTCTTTAAAGATTAGTTCCTTTGGTTTCCTTCTGTTTATTTCACAATCTAAAACGAGTTTGTAATGCTGGCAGACCTGGCAGCAGCAGCATTAAGACATAAATAAAAAAAGGCCAAAGCAATATATTTTCCTAAGCTCACTTTTCTTTCCTTTATGACTTCCACTTCTATATCTGTCCCAGGTGCCTTCCAGACAGCTCCTATTTCCCAGCACAGAAGCTCCACCACAGGAGGCTTGCCCAAATTTACAGGGTTGGTTTTCTTTATTTCAATTATCACAATGCTCCCTCCAGCTGCTATAAGCAGGTCCCAGGCCAGCATGCCCTCTCACTCTGCACAGCAACAGAGCATGTGTGGCAAAACCCCTGGTTTTCTGCTTGTTTCCTTTGTCTTTTGATCACCCCTAAGGAGCCACAAGTCTGCCCAGGTAGGTATTGGAGACATCCAAACGCCTCAGCTGCTTCTTCTCACAGGCCTGTCAGCCATGGGCTGCAAGCCCTTTCACAAGACTTGCAAGAGCTTTTTTTAGAAATTACCCAATACCGCCCCTCCGTCCAAAAAAAAAAAAAAAAAAAAAAAAAAAAAAAGAAAAAAAAAAAAAAAAAAAAAAAAAAAAAAACCAAACCAAAAAACCCCCAACCAAACCCACAAGACAGAAGAAGAGGGACTGCCAACCCCCCCTCATCCCTCACAGACCTGCACCCGAACCGGCCGAGCGGACCCCCCCAACCCTCCCGGCAGCCCTTCAGTAGCCCCAACCGGCGGTGTGAGGTGAGAGGCGAGGCGAGACACCCCTCTTCGCCCCCAGATCCCTCAGTCTCCCCGCTTCACCTTCCCACAGCTCCTCAGCCAGCCGCCCGCCGCCGCCGCCGCC